TATCTTTTGTTGAAAATTCTAATATTTGAATTTTTTAAAGATGTATTACTATCTAACTGTGGAGTTGAGATAGATGACAGGAAAATGTACATAGAACAGTAACTTTGACAGTTTCACTACTGTGTTGAAGTTGCTGGGTGATCAGTTCCCCTTGTGGCCCATGTATCAGTTGAGAGATGTATAGTACTTCAGACAAATTATTGATGCATTATTATGTCGACTAAAGGTTAAGGTAAAGTCTTCAAAAAATCAAAAGGTTTGAGACCGTTGCTGCACTTTTCCCTTTCAATTTTGACCACCTTCAAATTTTGACAAGAACTTGCAATTCATGCATTTGGGGAATAAAGGGAATATTTTCAATGAATTTAAAATCAAAATACCTTGATATAAGAAATTTCTTGGTACCTTCTTCTTCGACTTTATATTTGTTGCGTAGAGATCATACAACCAGTCAAATTTTTTGTTTTTTTTTTGGATTATGAGATTGATTTTCATTTAGTCCCCCTGTTTGATCCACATTCTTCTCAAATTCATTTTTTCAAAATTCATTTTTGGTTGTGTAGGTTGGGGATAGATTTAATAGATAATGAGTGAATGAAAGAATATTAAAAGATGAATAAGTATCAGATTTTTGAAAAAAAAAATTTTAAATCTGATTTTTGAATTTTGTATCTTAAAATTCTGGGTAAGTGTAATTTATCTATTAAAATGTATAAAATACTAAGTTAAATACCAACCTAAAAGTACCCTTATCTTCTACAAACTGTTTGAAATGAATGAATTTTTTGTTTTCAAATTACTCACATAGTCTACAGTCGAGATCCAGTCGAAGAAACATCTCACAGTCAAACCCAACGCTGACCACCAAACACCGGCCATTATCTTCAACAAGTTTAGTTTTTTTTTGGATTATGAGATTGATTTTCATTTAGCCCCGTTTGATCCACATTCTTCTCAAATTCATTTTTTCAAAATTCATTTTTAATCACAGATTTCTCAATAAAATAATATTACACACAAATTTAAAATT